AGCACTAGATTTCTTACACTGAAAGCTGGAAGAACTCTAGTGCATGCCAGAAAGCATGCACTAGAGTTCATGGAAGCATGTTAGAAAAGCTGAATTTCTATTTCAAGGGGAAAAAATACCCAAATACCCATTGCTTTCTCCCTCCTTATACTAAAAGTGACTTTAATTTTTAAAAATTTCCCAATTTTCTTTTCTTCTAGTCTAAAATTCTATGTTTAGTTATAAGAGAAATGTTTTAGGGAATCTCAGAATTAAAAAAATCATGAAGAGAGTTAACAGTTCATTTGAATTGATTCTTATGATTCCACTGCTAGTTCAGTTCTTTCTGCTGTTTATTTGATCCTCTCACATTGTTCTTGAGTCACTCTCTATTTCTGATTTTATTCATCAAGGTTCACTTCAAGGTACTGATTCAGTTCAGTAAGCGAGCAGATTTGATCTGATCTGTAAAAGAGTGGTTTTGTCCACCTCTAATAACAATAGGCTAATAAGAACTTTGCTGTTTTGTATAAACCTTAGCAGTGCTTATATGCTATATTTTATGAATTATAGCTATTCACTATCTAATGAAATAAATGATTTATTTTATACAGACTTATGCCAGAAGTTTAGTTTTATACTCTATATCTGTAATCTGAATATATTGGCTACGTAACTAAATAAAGAACTGCAAGTTTCTTCAAATGCCAGAATTTTTGGTGCAAGAATTTCATGATCTTTGCTGACTTTCATGGTCGATGGCAAAATACATAAATACTGAAATCTTATTACTGATATAAGTTTTTCATTATTCAATCAACAGTTTTATATTTTGGTAATTATGATAATTCTGCAAACATTTTAAATTATCAGTTGGATTTAAATTATATTAAGTAATTTATTGAAAGTAAACTTGAATTCAGTTTGTTAAGCAATTATATTTTGAAAAACAAATGAATGCTCTTATGTCACAACAAATGGCAATATTCTAGAATCTGGCAATTTTTTAGGCCACATTAGCACTTGGCAAATCACATACCTGATGAATAACATGGTAGCATTAATAATATCTCAAAATTTGCAAAAATTCTGCTAAATGCAGATTTCCAACTTCAGAAATCAGTAAAATAATTATGTTGAAATTATTTCTTTCTCCCTCTGATGGAGCTAATTTTTCTTTTATTATTTATCGTCTGTCGCTGACTAGATCACGTGACTGGCGACAGAGAAAAGAATGTAATAACTCTTTTAGTTTAGCGTGAGTGCGACGCTTGAAATGATCTATCTGTTCTTGGCCGCATAGCGGTAATCAACAATTATAACAGTTGTTCTTGATAAACTAATCTTGGCCCTATGATGGGGAAATTTATATTATATGTAAATTTTGTGCTTTGAATAATGTAAATAATGTACATAAGCTCTTCATTAAATATTTCTGCGTTTCAACTGGAAGTTCTTATTTTCAAGCTGAGTCTTTATGTGAAAATGGTATATTGACTCTTGATATACTAACATATTCTTGAAGTATTAAATTGATGCTCTCCGAACTCCGTGAATAAAATAGAATCGTAAATCGTGATCTTAACGTACAAATTTTACACAAATTATTAACTTTAATCTTGTTATCTATTTTTTTGCTGAGACACAAACAATTGAAAATAAGTACAATAATTCTTTATCTGCCTTGTGGGTGGGGATAAGAATCTGTTTATAATAAAAGAAAGATTAAAGGTTTCTTTCTTCACTCCCCCCCCCCCCCCGACTCAAAGAGAACTGCTCAAGAGAAAAGTAAAAGACACATCAATGAGAAATAAATTTTGAAACTGAAAGTTTCAAGGTCTTATGTCATTTATTAACTTCTGGTAAGTAGTTGGGTTCTTCGAAATTAATCGAAAATGTATTTCATACTTTGCCGATTTGTCATTTGGCATTCTGTAGAATGCCTAAGAAATGTATGAAATATGAATCGTTTCATACATTGCAGGCTAGTTTTAGGCATTACAATACCTAGGTGTTCTATAGAATGCCAGATTTCAGACTTTGCCGGTAACATTGACATTAACTCTTTGTAAGTTTTGACAACATTTCCTAAAGATATTCTAAGGATCTGTTTAACAATTCTACCAAATCTCTCCCACCAGCCTGGGAGGAAGAAACTTCCACATAATATGTTGAACTTCAGCTAATAGTTTATTTTCCCCCATTTCCTGTCTCTTTTAGGTAATTGTAAGCACCTCTAAAATTTGTACTGTTGTCACAATACACGATTTTAGGTTGTCCTTGTCTCGCTACAAAGTGTCTGAATGAAAGCAAGAATGCTACTCTCGATGGAGGAACTATTTTATTAATGTACTCACTAAATAGAGTGTTCTTCAGATAAATCAACAAAGTCAATATTTTTATTTCACTTAGATTGCAGCATTTATTCAAGAAACAAAAGCATTCAAAGGAAACAAATAAAAACTGAAAGATCTGACAATAAAACTTCATGAATCATCTCTAGAATTCCACTGGGGGAAGAAACTGTCTGCTGCTCTTACTGAGAATCAAAACTAATAAATTCTAATCAATAATCAGTGAAGCTATTCAAAATTTTATCATTAAAATATGCATTCAGTTTGCTAGTAGAAGTCATAATTTAATTAAATATGCACATCAAAACATTTTAAACTAACAAATTAAGCAATGTGTAAAATTAAATTTCTTGTTAAAGAAAGCTGTTGGCTTTCATCTAATGTTTTTATGTTTTATTTTTAAATCTGATTTTGGTAAGGAATTTACACTTGCTTTAAGTAGTAGAATGTAATAAATAACCAATTTAGAAAGAAGTTTTAACTTGAATTAAAAACAATAATTTAAAAGAAAATAAATCTTTTATTCTTTTGAATGTTGTTCACTTTCCATTTGATGTGCTAGCAGCACAACATGATATTTTGAAAATTTTGGGTGTGAGGGCTTTTTAAAGCTAAACAGAAATTCTTAACATTTCATTGGATGTCATTTTGTAACCGTAATTTTAAACATTTTGTTAGGCAGAACCATTTTATAACCGTTCTATAAACACTGGTTATGATTAGCTGTAAAAGTGTTTATTAACAAAACACAGAAACAGTTACAAAGAAAATATACTTTAAAGCAGAATGTACACCAAAATGGAACACCTAATATTAAGAATTAACATTTGAATCATGGAGACATAATATTGGAGAACCTACCCTCATTGCAGCTGGAGGTAGACCGCTGTAAGTTGTTCTCATTGTCACTAGGTGGCATTTGATAAAATATTTCGGTTACATCTAATAATCTGTTACAGTTCAAAATAAATTAATCTTTTGTTCTCTGATACATTCTCTGGTGGTGCTTCCATGTTAATTCTTTATTCAAAGACAAATTATTTATTTTCAATTTAAAAAGTAAGCACGGTTAAAAAGCAAGCAAGCTACTACTTGGTAAGACTTAATAATATATTAAAAATAAGTATTTTTAATATTTAATAAAATATTAAAAATACTCTAATTATCTCAGAATACTCCATGTTTTTATTTTCAACAGAATGTGAAAAGAAAAACGTGGAGGGCTTGGAATCCCAATATTTTTTAATGTCCATAATTCGCTAACTGACAAATTATTCATTTGCAAAGCTATAACCCTATTAATCAGGTCTTTCCTCTTCACAATTCGAGAAGTATTACATTTCCCTATCGAAACATTTCCCTAAACGAGTATTTAGCAAATAGAAGACACAGTTCCGTTTCACAGATTGCTGTGCAAAAATATCAATTACATTGGCTGCTAGCAACAAATTAATTTTTGTCTCCTGCAGTTTCAGATCTGATTAAAAAGTTCTTTTCTCCCTCATTTCATTCAAAATTCTCCTGTTGATGACCTTGAGCACTGTGTTGCAAATTTTTTTTTTTCTGAAAATGCATTTGAAAGGAGGATGATTCCTCATTTAAAGAGCAAATGAACAAATTATAAACATCGTGTTCTGCTTGCTCTGTTTCCCTTCCTGCAAACAAGCTATGTGTCATTCTGACTTTTCGCTTTGGCTTTAAGTTTAATTTATCTATCACAAATTTGTTAATGTAAAAGGATTGAGATCAGTAGCAAGAATGCATCCTAAAATTGCTTCTGTATATTAGATTTAGCTTTAACATTTAAAGTCATTAAATATACAGTTTCAATTTTGCAATTATTAACTAATGCAATATATTGAACTGATACACATTTTTCTTCACTTTCAACCTATTTTGGCTTATTTTTTGATAAAATAAGCCAAAAGTGGTTGAAGCTCGTGAGCACACATAAAGCTAATACGAGTTTTGGGGTTTTAATACGAGCAAATATTTCCCATTTTACAAAATTTTGCTGAATGGCTAATATGAAAGCATGTAAAGAACGCCTTTTTCCTCATCAAAATTTTCCAATTAACATCTAAATTCATACTTCTAGCAGTAAAATAATCCTCAGTAGGATGCATTTTCTCACAAAGAAAACAACCAAAATTTCCCTTATGTGATTTATCAAAGCTGCTGTAGTGAGGATTTAATGGGCAGTTTTATCAATTTATCAACTAAATTAGCATTAACAAGTTTGATCATATCTTCACCTTCTTGTCTTGTGAAGTTCATCGGTTTGTGCTCTTCCCAGACTAGTATTTTTCTCCCTTTTAATTCATCTTACAATACCAATAAGTCTACCTTCAAACATCCAGAAACAGCATTTTTCATGACCCACACTCAACAGGTCTTGCATGTTAATTTGAACAAGTAAATTCTGTAGATCAAAGCATTCCTGTAGTTGACTGATCACTTGGATAATTAATGGCTGTAGCTGGGAAAGTTTCCACTACATTCACTGCTTTTCGGTGTTACTGCTTGAAGCAAATACTGGAATTTATTTATTTATACTGAAATCCATTAAATTTTGATGTTTCTGTATATAAATAGATAGATTATTTTAAGTGCTTCTTTAAACTTTAAAGTAACATCAACTGAATTTTGTCATTTCTGTCTTTTTGAAAGGGAGCAGATGTTTTTACTGCAAAAGTTAATATTGAAGTACAACATGCCAAAGAAACTGTGATTGCGGCTATAGAACGAAATGGTGGAGTTATAACAAATGCATATTATGATGTCGAAAGCTTAGTAGCTATTATAAATCCTCAGAAATATTTTGAAAAAGGTAAGTTGATTATATATATATCAATTCATATATATAATAAGGAATCATCTGCAATTAAAACCCATGTTAAAATTAGATTTATAAAATATTTATTTTATGTTTATTTCCCATACTGCACTAAATTATATCATGTAAAATTAAGGACTAATTCAATATAAGAATATATGATTATTAATGTAAAAAAAAATATGCTGTGGTAAAAAGGAACTTCTTAATATTCTGTAGCAAACTAAGATGGGGGAAGATTAAGAATATATATATATATAAAACTAATTCAGAGTCAATCAACAAAAATTGGCGTTATATTTTAAATTTTCACAGACTAGTTTCGATGGTTTTTACCGAACACCATCCTCAGCTGCAAAAGTGCAATGAACAATAGGATATAATGTTAAATAAGATAAGAAAGCCTGGACGAAAATAAGCTAGTGGCGCCCTCTGTGATGAAACCAGAACTAAAACATAATTTCTTTAAAGGCCGAAGACAATATGGGATTGGATAGGATCGTAACTAGAACAGAAAAAATTTTTGGAATGTGATGCCTCTAGAAAATCCAGTTCTCCAATGGAAGTGTTTTTGAATAATTTAGGCAGCAGAAAAATTGAAAGTGTGATTGTCGGATCAACAATGTACAACAAACAGAAGACTTCTGTGTTTCCTTTTTTATAACATATGTCTCATGTTCCTTGACACGAAATTTTAAGGCTCTCTTAGATTGACCAATGTAAATTAAAACAAACTGGCAAGGAATCCTATAAATACCCTGGAATTCATATCTGGAATGAGGTCCTTGAGATGGAACTCGGAATTTCATTGATGGGAGAATAACAACCCAAAAGTTAAATTATGCAAAAATATTCAAAAAAACTTTCTGTTCTAGAGATTTAACATTCAACCTTCTGTTCGTTATTGATTTAATCGTTTCACACAACATGGCGCCACTAGCTTGTTTTTGTCCAGGCTTTGTATCTTATCTAACATAATTATACTCTCGTTCATTTGTGCTTTGAGCTGGAGAGGTGGTCGGTAAAACCATTGAAACTATCCTGTGAAAATTTAAAATATAATGCTGATTTTTTTTTTTGATTTTGAATTAGTTTTTGTTCGCTGTGTTATTATTGTGTCTTAATATATCCAAACCTTCCTTATATATGTGTTTGTATGTATATTTGTTCGTGTATATATATATATATATATGTAATAAATTCAAAGTCAGAAGTAACTGAAGAGCAGGAGGAGAAATTTGGAGACAAAGACAGATTAAATCTTCAGTTTTATTTTCGGCAACATGTTGCGGCTACACACAAGTCGGCACATTAAATGTGCCTGTTCCAGAAGGCTTACATTTTTGATAATTTTGTAGCAAGAAAGCAGAGCAGACAAACAACAGTGTAGCTATGCCGAAGTGTGGAAAGCAAGTGCGTTATGCTCAGGATGAAATCTGAATCAAACTGAGTTAGTTTTGGTTCTCAAAGCATTTTGATTGGATAGTTAATATTGCTGTAAAATTATATTGGATGCTGAGTTTTAGTTCAATTTACATCACCAGAATTACGTAAGAGTCATATGACATAGATTTTTCTGGAAATGACGCAGTGCAAATAGATGTTGCTATTTTTAGAATCTAGCTGTATCTATATTATAGAGAAGGGAAATTAATTTGCGCTGCTAATTTAATCTTTTATATAGTCTTTATTTTTCTTACATATATATATGTATATAGTATGTTATATTATAATTCTGTAGTTGACTTTTGTAGCTGAGTTTTAGAAAAACAGATGGGTAGATGTTTAAGGTGACAGAAAAAATTTAGTTGAAGTGGTGTTGACTCAACATAGTTTAATTTCATAATTAAAATGGGTTCACATATCATCATTATTGGTGCACTATACATCCTGGAAATTTATGCAGCTTATAACTCTTTAGACAATGATGATAAATAGCAAAATCAAAAAATGCACAATGGCAGGCAGCAAGGCAAAGCAGGTAAAGGGTTGTGCAATTGAAATATTGTTATTTATAGTAAAAAGTTTCTTTAATTTGACTGAATGAGAGTCATCCACATTATAGCGTGATTACATAAAAAACATGAAACAATTTAGAAAAACGCTGTCCAGAAAAATTATTATAAACTATTTAGAACAGGAAGGGGAGATAACCAAATTAAAATGAGGAATTAAAAGTACTACTAGCAAATTCACTGTTGTAAAAAGTTTTTAGTTTCATATATATACATAGAATATAAACTATCTATCCTTCTAATAATAAATTAACAATAGCTTTTTAACTCTGCTTTCTTCTTCAATCCCAAAATAGCAGAGCAGTAACTTTTCTTATATCCTGTAATTCTGAAAATTAAGTTGTCATCTGATCTCTATTACAGAACTATTCCTGGAAGGCAATGAAATCTTAACCCATCATCTGGATATTAATCCCCTTAATCTCATCATTCTTGCTATATCATCTGAAATGTACTCTGTATAAAAAGTTTTTGCATAATTTCATTCACTTTTAGTCACTTTTTTCTGAATTCTCTTTTAGTCACTTTAGAATGCTGTTTCCCCCCTTTTCTATCTCTTTTATTTGCCTCTCGTAGCACTCTTCTGTTTTGCTACACCAACATGCTGCTGCCTTCAAATAATAATTTTTTCATATTTATCCAATGTAAAATGTTCTTTAAGAACAAGGTGCTGTGGCATCAATTTGATTTGTGTAAGATTAAATAAAAATATATACCCACCATAATAAAAAGGAAACAATTGAATTTGGGCATTGGCTGCAAGTTTCTGGGTTATACATCCATCTACTACACCAGCGTCTTTCAAATTTTATTACCTAAATAAATATATGTAATGATATTTTAAAATCAATTGATTAAATTAAATTCTAATCATATTCCTTAATAATGTGTTGGCGATTCTCTACCTAAATTGCATCCCTGTTCCTAAATTTTGGCAAATCCTTTCTTTATTACAAATTATATTAACCTGTTGGGGGCCCGCCAAATCGCCAAACTCATAAATCTGTCATATTACATAAAGTCCTTAAGAAGACTCCTGATGAGAAGATAGCGTCACCTCGTGATTTCAATTTATATCGCTGTTTGGATGAGCACCATGACACACACATATCTATAAATAGGGCTTCTTCTCCAGGTACAGGAGGAACGCTTGCGAGATGGATGCTAAAATAAGCGTATCACTTTATATTCCAAAGTTTGTCTCATTCCTGTTGCCCCGACTGCACAACACAAATAATGTATGAGAAAATACATTTCATATATATATATGTAAGATAAAAAATATAAAAGCAAACTTCTAATTTGAATTGGCTATAATCTCATATTTTTTAATTTAATTTGGGGACTTCCTATCTCTTTGTCTTTTTAAGACGCGCTATAAGTCTAAACTGCATCATTCAAATTAATCATGCCATCCTATATAATGTTTAATGCAGATTACCTCATGCCCAATCACTGAATAATTGTAAATCGAAATGTTTTTAACTCGAACTGAAACATTTTGACGTTCTCCCATTTTCCTCTGAATTGCTGAGACATTTTTCACTTACGCCTTCCACCTGGCAAAAGACTTTGTGGCTACCTTCTTTCTTCACTGAGTATGTGCTAAGCTAACAAAAATGTAGGGCGCGTAAGATATTCCTCCGTATTTGAACCAAATATTGAGAATCCAGAGTTGCTTTACTCAATAATACAATTATTTTGAGTCCGACCATGTCTGTCTTGCCAAGCTTCTTCGCTAGGCATCTATGATGCCACCATCAAGTTCCAAATTATTCATATCATGCCATCAAGTTGACAGGGATGTCTCAATTGCATATACCTCCCAATACAGAGTTTATTCAACCAATCTATCATTGTTTAAATAATAGATAAAATAAAAAGAAAGTGTTCATTGCTACCTGAATTCCGAATCAGGCCAAGGTCACTGTAGCGTCGATGTATGGTATTTGAAAATTTATTTTTAACCCGCAAGCGTGCACGCTGGGTCCAATGGACCTGCCTAATTAAAGAAACCTTTCTGGAAACGCCACTACATTTCCCAAGTGGTTGTTGGTTCAGTGTAGTCTCCTCCAAGGCCATCCTCTGTATATTTCCTAAGTTTTTCACTGAAAATTTGATTCAAAGTTTTGTTTTGAATCAATTGGATCTTTCAGACCCAGCGCGCCTATTCACATTGCCATAATGTAACATTTGTCGTAGCACAGAAAGCTGCACACATAAGGAAGAAATGTTACGTTTGCAAAAATTATTAGAAGATGTATCAACTGTTGAAAGACTCCATTGAAGAAACTGATGAAAGTTCTAATAAATTTTTTAATTCTCATGATACTGATTCAGAAATTGAGATGCATTCTGAAAACGAAAATGAGAATGACATTTATTGCTTTATTGGAAGACAAATAAAAAAAATAATGATCAAAAGAAAAGCCTAAAGCCAAACCTGTTCATAATATTATTAATAAATTGCCTGGAGACATTGGTAATGCAAAATATGTGCACACTCCAAATGAATCGGGGGGAAATTTTACTAAGTGAATAAATGTTGCTGAAAGTTGTCAGTTATGCAAATATTTATATTCCATATATTTCTGACAGCCTTCAAAAGAGATGCTCGCCACACAACTCTAATTGAAATTCGTGCTTTTATAGGTCTTTTATATTTTGTGACATAAGTCATCTCATGTAAATGTGCGGGATCTGTGGGCAACAGATGGAACCGGCTTTTCCTCAAAACTATGTGCTACAAAAGTTTTCTTTTTTTATCAAGATGTTTGCGTTTGATGACATAGGCACTCATGCCATTAAGAAAGAATCAGATAAACTTGCACCTATAAAACAGTTTTTTGAAGATATTATCAATAACTGCCAGAAATGTTAAACTGCCAGCGAGTTCATAACTACTGATAAAAAACTTGAAGCTTTCAGAGGAAGATGTTCATTCAGGCTATATATTTCTAATAAACCTGAATAATAATG